GGACTCATGTGGGCATGCAGGACAGACCCTTTGGTACCAACTCCCCACCCCCACTAGACACGGGAGTGGTCCACCAGCTGCCTCACACTGGACCCTAACCACAAGGAAGTTGACCTTTCACCTGCGTGAACTTGGGAACTGCAGAATGCCAACAAGTCATCAAAGAAGAGCTTTAGTAATCAGGAGGTATCAGAAAAACGCCCCTTTGGGAGGTGGGTAATTGAAGGGACATTTATGTAGCACTTCATTATAAATATACACATTGTCCAAATAAAAGATTGTGTGTGTGTGTGGGGGGGGTGGCAGTGTTAAGAGAGATGAAGTTAAACAAACACACAAACAAATAGAGAGAGATGATGTAATACCCTATCACCTCACTCTAGTCACTGTCCTGGAGCTGGTGCTGACTCATAAGGACCCCTGTGGGTTTCCGAGACATGGCTTTACAGGTGTACAAAACCCAGTCTTTGTCCGGTCACCTAAGCCCCCTTCAGCTCCGACTCTGCACGAGATCTTCAGGAACCTTGGGATTAGGGAGTTGGGTCCTGGAGGGCTTGTTGCTGATGTTCTAGCATCCCAGAGTGACCTTGATTGAGTTGTGTGTGTGTTGTAGGGGGTTGAGGGGGTGCTGGAGTTGGTTCCCTGAGTGCTGGCGTGCCAGGGCAATATGGAAGGGTTGCGGGGGAGGGCAGAGACTGAGGGCTTGCCATTTCATTGGGGTCTCCAGACCCCATGTCCATTTGCCCCTTAGGCATTGGAGGTATCTGGACCTATCAGCTTTGTAAGGGTCCACAAGAAGTATGAGGCCTGCAAACTGTTGGTGCCAAAACCAGAGAAAAAAGAAGAAAATCAAAATGAGGCTTTAGGCCAACTTCATCGTCACTATAAAATGCCAGGACCTTTGGAAGCAATTGGCAGGTCAGGTTTTTCCACACTTGGTCAGAATTCCACTACTGGCAAGAAATCAGTTAATTGTAAAGGAAAATGAATTACTCATCGTCAGATAATATCAAAGGTGCAATTATAGTAATTCCTTTAAATGTTTTTAGAGCAAAAATTACACATATGTTTACTATGGGAAGTAGGTACATTTTCTTATGTTTGATATTATGTGGCGCATGGCTTCCAGAAGCCCCCC